GACCGATATAAGCTGTTCTGGGACAGCGGGGCAGCGGACGACGTCAAGTTGACGCAGATTGGGGAGATGGCGAATAATGTCGACCCTGGACTGGGTAAACTGGATATAACGAATGACCAGTTTGCGGAGACCCGTGAAGCGATCGAGACGCTCGAACAACGCATCCAGCAGGACATCTGGTGTCTCCGATTCTGCCCACTCCGAAGGATCGGGAGCCTTAATCGAGAGCCTTCTATCTGGGAAAATCGTGAAGCATTGGACCAAAGGCGCGATTTCCGGCGAGCAGCAAAAGTCGATGCGCTCCAAGCGACTGTCCACGACATTGGAAGGCGGGAGGAGCACACGGTCGGAATGAATCAGAAACGGGGCGAGGTGTAGGTCACTGAACAAGAAAGATCGAGCTATGGGCAGGAAGCTGCGGCACACCAATGCAAAATTTTTGAGGTCGTCGCTGCCCGGGTACAGGGGGAATGTGTCCAGAATTTCATTCCAAAGTTCCGTCGGCACGCGTCGGTGTGCTCCGCTCATCGAAGGTTGGAACACAATCGTCGTGGATGAGATGAGGGTTAGACGCAAGGAAAAAATGGCGTGTTGATGGCGGAGTTGATCCGGTCCAGGTGACCAGTGATGATGATTCGCTTTGATGACGCTCCCGTACTTATGAGTGCAACTTGAGCTCGGCACCGCCAATGTGAAAGAACGAAGCAGGAAGAGTCTCTGTCCAAGGTTCAACCCACCAACAGACGCAGAGCAAACCCAGAGCGTGAAGGCCTCGTAAGAGCGATCGAATCTGCCGACGCAGACGGTGACCCATCCCTTGTTGAAATATTTTGCAAATATTCCCAACTCCTGTTATGTATGTAGCTGTCATCCCCGTCCTAGACACACTCGGATGAATCACTACGCAACAACTTGCACCCACCCACCCCTCTCAAGCAACTCATCACAAAGGCGTCCATACCCCTCGTACACCTCCCACTGAACCTTCACCACATCAACCCACAAACCCTCCAGCACCACCCGTCGCATCGAGCTAAACGCAGGCTCAAGAAGCAGCTGAAAATGCTCCTCAACGAGCTTTGCGTTGAATTGCGCTGTAGGAAGCCTGAGCCGCACGTACTCGAGTGCAACCAGGGAGTCGGCCTCATCAGGAATCCTCTCGATGCCACTCCGCACGTCGTACCGCAACTCATGGATATTCGGACAGCGGTCCAAAATAGCTGAGAAGGAGATGGCTGTGGGCGCTACGAGTGCGAGTAGGCGTAACGCAGGAAGCTCGGGGAATTCCGCCCATCGGAGGTGGACGGGGTCGATAGTGAGGCACGTGAGGGAGCCTAGGTCGATGGATAGGACGGCGCGCACCCATATTGGATTGAGGCGTGCGAGTTCGAGGGAGGTGAGGTGAGGCAGTGCGGGGATTGTTGGCGACCAGCTTGAATCACTGCCTATCGTCCAGGATGTTGAGAGACATAGGTGTGTGAGGTTTGGAGCAGCGTCGAGGACGATGAGCAGAAGCTCTGAGGACCAGCTAGATTGTATCCAGTACAGTTCACGTAGCGTGGAGAGATGGGGAAGCGGCATTTTCGAGTCGGAATACATCCGGAGTGCACGCGGAAATTCGGGTTGGACGAGAACCTCGACGTGTGGACACTGCCTGAGAATCGCGGCATTATGGTCGAACCGTGTAGTTGACAAGCGGATCCGTCGAACACGGCGCGCCGTTGCGGCATCTTGCAGTGCAGCAGTGAGAGACGCAAAGCCCTCGTTCACCCACACGTTCTCGTACAATAGCTCATGGGCCATATCGTTCCAAGACTTGCAGACGTTGACCAAGGAACGCGCAATCTTGAAGCGGTGAGTGTGTTAGGGGCGGAGTTACGTCATGGACACACAGACGCACCTGAAGATATCGCCTCATCTCGGACTCGGAGAGGGCGTCGTTGCTGCCTCCAGGCTCCATATCCTCCGTGGCTAGTCGGTGTATGTGCATCCATAACTCGGGTGGTTGGGAAAGCACTGCGGTCATGATGAAACGAGAGGAAGGGAAGGAAGTTGAACGGGCGGGCGTTGCCAATTAAAAGGAACCGGCAGATTACGGTATTGGAGTGTCCCTTGCACGGGAAGCTTAGCGCTCATCCCCGGGGACGTGCAACGACTCCCATGAACCTGTTTCGCTAATCCCTCTGTTTTTAGAAATAACCAGCGTGCCGGGTAATCTAACCCAATCGCGACGAGATCCGGTCTGTCGCAAGGCGGGAAGCTATCTTATATGAAGGAGTCTCCAAGCGGAATGTACGGTGCAACCGGAAGATACCTAAAAGGTACCACTCCGCCGGAATTCCACCGCGTGGCCGGAACGTTGAGTTCCCTTGTCGACGGCTAGCGGGGCCCCGCAGAAGTCCTCGGCAGTGGGAAGTGCAAGCACGCGACTGGTGAGCAGTGAGGGAGCTTTTTCATCAATCCCCGTCCTTCTGCATGATGCATTACTTCGGCGTTTTTCAGAAGCCAGATAAGCCAAACTGTCAAATTGAGTCAAAGGCCGAGTGTAGCCGGTCACGACATCCCACGAGGAGTAGTAGTATCAACGGGACGTCCCGTCAAACGGTCGGATGGCAGGAGACTTCGGCAACTGAGAACCTGAATGGATGGTTAATGAGAGCGAAGCCATCTGTCAGCGCACGCGCCGTCATAGAACGCTGCAATAGCGTCACTGGTGCCTGGCGAGGTTTAGATTGTGAGGATCGAGGGCCTGGGATTTGACAGATAAGGAGTGTACATACTCTGACCCAGTCTTGAGCTGATTCATAAGAAAAAGAAAGAACACCATCCGCGTGAACCCCGCGCATTGAACAAAATGAATATTCGGCCATCTTGAAATCGCGCGGTGAACGGATGCATTCGTACCCGGTCCACGGGTGGAAAAAGCCAGCCAAATGTGCTCCAAACGAGGCAAAAAAACATGGACATTTTCGCCAGATCTCGACCCGCTCATAACCCATCCGTGGACTCGAAAAATCACCCGTTTGAAACTGTAATAGGTCCTTGAACGGACTGAAATTTCCCGGAAACCATCAGTTTGTCCAGATGCTCTACACCTGGAGTCTTGGCAAAGATAATCCTCTATAGAGAGCGTACATCAATACCCACGAAGATGCGTACAAGTAATCCGACGTGCCTGGCCCAACATCAATCCACACCATACACGAGCTCCCCACCGCGCGCAAGGAGCGCATTGCGAAGATTCTGTAAGCTTGGGCCTACTTTCACTTTCACATCCGAGTCCGACCACCGTCCCTCCAGCACAACACGCTCGATCCCGGCAAACGCAGGCTGGACGAGAAGCTGACATTGGTCCTCGACGTTCCAGACATTGACCGTAGACACAGGCAACGAAAGCCGAATGCAGACGAGTCCCGCCGCTACCGCTCCGGCTCCTTCAACCTCAGGAGGCTGCACGCGACTGCGCACATCGTACCGCAGATCACGCACGTTGGGACAGCGCGTGAAGATCGCGGGAAAGAGAACGACGGTAGGCATGGGATGCGCGCTGAGTGTTAATTTGCGCAGGCCCGGGAGGATAGGGAAGTTGGACCAATTAAAGTGCCCAGGGTCGATGGTGAGGTCGACGAGGGAGCGTAGGTCGCTCCTCAGCAGGGCTCGTACAAATCGAGAGTCGAGGCAGGTGATGGAAAGAGTTTCTACGTGCTGCAACGTCGGGACTCTTGGCGATTCGTCTGCATCCGCGCCGATCGTCGAGGACGTCAGTAGACAGACATGGGTGAGGTTCGGAGCCAACTGGAGCACCTTCAGGAGGAGTTCGGAAGACCAGTACGAGTGGACCCAGTACAACTCTCGCAATTCCAGAAGAGGGGGAATCTGGATGTCCTGAACCGTGTACAGGCGACCCGAACGCGGAAATTCCGGCAAGACGAGCATCTCGACTTGCGGGCATTTCGTCAAGATGGAAACGTTCCTGTCGAATCTCGTCGTCGAAAGTCGGATCCGGCGGACAAGACGTCCGATTTCGGGCCGCGCAACGGCGGCTGCGAGAGACGCAAAACCGTCATTCACCCACACGTTCTCGTAGAGCACCTCGTGGGCCAGTCGGTTCCACGTCCTGCATACACGGCCCAGAGATCGTGCCGCCTTGAATAACATCAGAGACATCCGTCGGAAAGACAAGTGCATACCTGGAGATACCGCTTCATCTCCAGATCAGAGAGCGCCTGAGCGGGAGTCGCACCACCGCGGGGAACCAAATCAGCTGTCGCCAACTGATATATATAAAGCCAGAGCTCAGGCGGGAGAGATGGTAGCGCCGGCATTGACGAAGGGCAAAGTGCGAACTTTTTCGGGATGGCGGGAAGAAACAAGTGAAATGGTTTGGTGACAAACACAACCACCCAATCGTTGTCGGATGACTTCATCAGACGTGGCCGACGCTGTGTCTCCCGCCGTCTTATACCTCCGCAGACGTGTCGCCACGTTCAAACTCGACTCGAACGCAGTCAGGTTTGGATTACACGCTGCCGAGGACGGGGACGAGGCGCAGTCGATTTAAAAAGTAGCAGAGACATTTGAAAACAGTGGTAATTGCGCGCAGTTGCAGCGAGTGACAACCCATGAGGCGGCGAACAACAGCACAAGAACAGACGACCAAGGGAAAACACAAAAATGAAGACTAAGCAAAAAAGAAGAGCTCAATGACTAATGCTTAGGGAGGGAATCGAACTCCCGGCGGGCGAGCTATTGCGAACCCTCTGCAGACGTGTCGCCACGTTCAAGCTCTGCTCGAGCGCAGCGAGCTTTGGATTACACACTGCCGAGGACAGGGACGAGGCGCAGTTGAAACCATTTAGAAAGTAGTATTACAGACACAGAGACGGCCAATTCCAAAGGTGGTTACAGTAACTGAGGCTTTCGGAGGTGGTAGAGACACGACAGATACCGTCACAGAAAGACAAAACGAGGACCACCAAAAAGAGGATGCAAGTGACGAATGCTTTGGGAGGGAATCGAACCCCCAGCGGGTCGAGAAGCATCAATCTTGACATCCATGGCCATGGCAACGACCCAGGTTACCACTACCCCACCAAAGCGACAGGGGTTGTCGAAAATATGAGCCCAACTCTAATAAACGTTGTTGACTGTGAAACCAGCCGCAAACGTCTACGCTAAGTACGAGGATCGATAGCAGGCCAAACGAGAGATTTTGGACGTAAGTATGTATTAGCCTGGTTATTTGTAGCGTACACCAAAGTATCTGCATGGATGTGATAGATTCCCCCCGTAGAGCCACTGCGCTCGAAAAGTCGGAACTTGGAAGCTTCCGAAGCATGGGGTGCAGCAGTGCGAGATGTCCATGATCGTCCCGGGTGCGGGGAGCGTGACGGCTAGAAGGTCCTCAGCATTTGGCCCGGAATGCCGAAATAGACCAAGACGCACCTCTGAGCCAGTCCCTCTCAAGAGCGCACCACGCCTTCAGGATACTCCACCCGACTCCCCCGCTTTCTCAACCCATCTCGGAATCCCCGAAACCTTTCATCCAAAACGACACTATCCCACGTCCCTTCAAGCACCAACCGCTTGACGAGGGGAAAATCTGGCAAGAGCACGAGCGCAAAATGCTCCTCGATAAAGCCCCAATGGCGCACGACCTGCGCAGAGGAATACAGCCGGAGCTGCTCGAGAGCCTCATGCGTCGGCTCTTCGGACGAAGGCGGGACAGCGTCATTGCAGACGTCGTAGCAAAGCTCGCGAAGGGCGGGGAACCTGGCGAGGCGATCGGAAAAGTCGATGCCTAGGAACGAGCCGTACAGCTCGAGCGTCTGCAGGCTTGGGAGTGTCGGGAAATCCGGGCGCCGCAAGTGAAGAGGCGAGCAAGCGAGGCGGGTGAGGTTTTGGAGGTCCAGTCGGAAGACGGGGTGGTTGGTGAACACCAGACACGAGAGCCTCCGTAGACGAGGGAGGGGCGGGAGTGTCCACCGGTCTTCCTGACGGAGCTCAAAGTGGAGTGGGGTTTGGAGCACGAGATGCTCGACGTTGGGTGCTGCCTCGAGTATGAGGCGCAGGGGAGGGGACGTCATGACGGACTCGGTCCAGAAGACATGCTTCAAGGACTGGAAGGTCGGAAGTGAACTTATCGTCCGTGAAGGACGAATGAGGTTCGACCCGGAATTGTTGCCAGGGTGGCAGATAACCTCGACTTGAGTGCACAGGGCGAGGACGACGGCGTTGTGGTCAGCGCGGAATGTCGTCAGACGGATGCTGCGAACGAGCCTTGCGTTCGCTGGATGCTCCAGTGCAGTGCGGAGACGGTCGAATCGCCCGGAGTCGTCGGGGACCGGGATGTTTTCGTAGAGTAGCTCATGAGCGAGTCCATTCCATAGGCGAGACACGACTGCAAAAGATTTGGCATCCTAGGACATGAGATGAAGAAGGTTATTGGCGATACACTCACCTGCACGTCTATCTTTTCAAATGGATCTCGGGAGGGCACATACGCCAGGTCCTCGGAGCGTGCAGCGTTCAAGAGGGTCCGGGGAATCGCAAGTCGGTGTATGTAGAGCCAGAGCTCGGGAGGAAGTGAGAGGGATTCCGACATGGAAGTTTTGGGAAGAGATGATAACGCAGTTTCTTCAAATCAAAAGCCAGCAAACTATGGCAGAACATGAGTGTACTTATAAGCTACGATCCACACGTAGCAACTCTATATACACGACTGACGCCAGCAGGGAGACAGTCATCTGCGAGCCGACAGAGCTCGAGGAAGCGACTCATCGTTCACAGGCCCGACCTCCTTCGTCCAAAGCCAGTGCCAGCAGGGCACTTCCATGACCAATTATACATGCGGGCCGGGTACCAAAGTAACACCCATGAAGCAGCCACGACTCGAGACAAGCCGGTCCCTGAGGGAACTATTGGGTCGATGAGCATTGAGTGAGTTACGACGACAAGGGTGGTCTCACCAGCAGAACAAGAAAGCACTTCGGGAGAGGAAGGACGTGGTTCCCGATATCGCTCCTTGATCCATAACGCCCTTGGAAAAGCGCAAGCCTCCCTCGTCCAAGTCGACTTCTCGCTCATGCAACGCCGGGAAACCAGCACATGCTAATGCACGCAGCCGACGCGCTTCCACTGGCCGGAATCCCGCGAGGAAACCGCCAACAGTCTTCAGCGCACCAATCGCACAGCCAATGGAGGATTGCGGGCGGGACCAAAAAAGAGTTGTCAATCCTCATTGACTCGTCCGTTGACCGCTACCGGAGAACCAGGTCGACGCAAATCAAGCTTAACGCCGGTGCGAGCCTATGTAGTCGACGAGAATCCCAGTATCGAGGTATATCGAGTGCGGACACGGCTCCAGATGCCCACGTCTGAGAGGATTCGTCAGCACACATCGGCTCCTGGTCTGCGAGATGACTCACTCCGATATAGCCTATAGGCAACGCAGGCAGGCGAGAGAGCTCCCAGCAGTCCTCGTCTCAACACGAAACGCAGGGAGCCTCGAGCTGGAGGAGGGGCAATGAATCCTCGTTGTGCTCAAGTCGAGGAATGATATGGCCCGCTTAGGTTCTCGTCGTGCCGCACACGTCTCTGTTTCCAGAAAGGACGCAGCGACGGCTCCGCGTCTGCAGGCCGCATTGCCTGGCTGCATGATGTTATGAGCTTGAGCGGAAGATGACGAGTACATGGGACGCACCGGACGAGGATGCAAGAACATGACGACTCCCTGGCCCCCAGTCACTTTCGGAGTTAATACGGAGGGTGAGGAGCGGGCGTCGAGGATGGTTTGGAGGGAGGCTGCATCGGAGTGCGAGGAGGGGTGTCGGGTACGCCGAGGTAGAAGCGGAAGAGGTTGTTCCTATTGCTATTCGGGGAGGATGGTCTCACCAACAGAACAAGAAAGCATTTCTGGAGAGGAAGAACGTGGTGCCCCATCGCTCCATTCGTGCAATTCGGCTTGCCCTTTCCCAAGGGCGTTATTAGCCACGAGTCCTGTCGTCCGTCCCATATATCTATCTCCATGTCCACATATCGATCATGTCGTCGATCGATTTGCGCAAGTACCAGAGAATTCACCGCCGCTCTCTCGTGGACCGCCGGGACACCAGCATCGGTGCACGTAGCCGACACACACTTCCACCGGCCAGCTAGGCCCCCAGCGCCGCATGACTTCATCCTTAGCGTCCAGGGCTTAGCGAGTCCGAAATCCCCGCAAGGAAAGCGCCTGCAGCCTGCAGCCCCGACAGGTCCAATGAGCGGATACGGGCAAATTTGCATGCTCTTCCTCGACGACAGAGTGAGGGAAAGAATCCCTGGACGCCGCTCTTCAGGCCGGGCCAATAAAGGCGGCGATTGCCACCGTGGTGAGAAATCTCGACCGAAATGGACGCCGAGGAGGGGCACCAAATCATGGACGGCTTGAGTATTCGAATGCAGTGGGTGTTGCGACGGCCAGTCACCTTCCTCCGCAAGGTGAAGCAGATGGAATAAATCCAGCGCAAGGCGGGGAGGGGCTAGACGCAAAGATTGTATCTGCCGCAAGGCTCGAAGCAGAAACGAGGAAAGATCTCGAGCCTGGGCAATCGTATGAGCCAAATGCAGCGAGAGACCAGTTTCGATGACGTACCGGGGTTTCTGCAGTACCCAAGCATGGCATGGACAAACGAATTGGCTCGCAATGAGCAGACGGGATTGGTTGTTCCTCAAGTACGAGGATGGTGTTCTCTCGTCACCACGCGCCTCCGGTCCAGAGAACCACAGAACGTTGTAAAGAGGATGGCTGGATGGTCGAAGATCACCCGTCTTCACCAGGGTAGGAGTCCAGAAGGCGGGTGAGAAGAAGCCGGCCAAGGGGACGGCATCCTCCGGAGTCCTTGAGGCGGGCGCCGACATTTCCTCTGGAGATTCGGTAGAGGGCCATACTCGCGTGGTAAGTATGGAGTGGCGAGGTGGTCCGATGAGATGGGGCAGCCTCGCAAGCCTGTACACTTGTAAGAGATCCATGAAAAAAGACGAAGATCATATGAGACACACCAGAGCCCAATCTTGAATCGTCCTACACGCATGGATCCAGAGGAGCGTCCACTTAGGATTTGCATGCCACCGGAAATCTAACCCAGCAAGCGAGAGACCGAAAAGGACTGCACTCCTATAAGCACAGATGGGGGCAGTGAGCCCGAGTCGGACGCACCTGAATCTTATCGCTGCTTGCTACGTAGAGGCCTGCCTCTCGACGACAATAAGCCTGGTTTGGGCAGTCAGAAGCCTTCCGACTGTCGGTCTATCGCCAGACTTCCGGGAGAAAGGCGAGGCTCGCGTGAAAGGACATCCCAGAGTTGAGAGCGAGACTAAATAGCAACGTTTGAAACTCCACCGGAGCATTGAGGACGGCAAGTCGGTGACCTGGACTGAGAAAACTTCAATGCGAGGCTTGAGACCGTATGAGCCGGATACGAGAGGGAGGGTTTGTGTCGAGAACGTACCTTGGCCTAAGAAACTCCGGGTGCCTTCACAGCGCCTCCGTTTTACATTTGCATTTGGTCCATAAGAATGAGAGCCTGCAAATCCGAATGCCAGCCGTAGATTCGCTGGACGCTGGCAGAAAGCCAGAGACAGAGACGTAACCCGGCAGCCGAAATGCAGTCTATGGCTCTTCAAAGGACTGCACAGTTTCTGTAAGTAGAGATGCGCGCAGCGGACCCTAGTCGAAACGCACCTGAATCTCCAAGGTATCGCTGCAAGTCCTACCTCGACCCGGTAGAGCGAGTGAGGAGGTGCGATATGCAGAGTCTAGGGTGGGGATAGGCGACGCATCCGATATAGCTACGGACCATTCGTCCCACCTCGAAGCGAATGGGCGGGAGCTTCCAAGGCATGTACTATCGCCAGATATCCTGGAGAAAGGCGAGGCTCGCGTAGAGGGACATCGTAGAGTCAAGAGTGAGACTAGAAGGGAAGATTTGAGCTCCTCCGGCGCATTGAGGACGGCAAGTCGGTGAAGACATGGAGGGAAGAAGAAAGTGATGGGAAACGCCACTCGCTCACTTCACCTCCTCATCGGACAATTCGTCGCCTGCTCTTCACTCTTCAAGCT